TCGCTTTCTTTTGCTCAACCATTTTATGTAGAGGAATCGGAGAATTTTTCCGAATCGGCTGTGTTCTTTCTACTAATTTCATAGCTGGGATAGGTAGGCTTTTCATTTTCATTTTCATTTTCATAAGATCCAATCTCTAAGACTCAGATAAGTAAGATACCCGGCGAAAGGTTGGAATGGATTGAGGGCGGGTGGGCTACGGGGATTTGATTAAGGTAACAACGATTTTGATAATAATAATTTATATTTATTTTCAAGCAATAATAAAATAAAAGAGTGAAATTTATAAAAATAATAATAAAATAAATTTTGGGATTAAAATTTAGATTTAAAAAATAATAATAAATTTGGTAATGAAATTATAAAAAAAATCATAAATGATTAATTTTCTAAAAAAATTTAGATAAAAATATTTTTAAATGTGATATAAATTATGAAAGTTTTATTAAATAAAATAATAAAACTATTTAATTAATCCACACGCAACGAAGAACACTTAGTAATAAAATAATAAAAGAAATAGAAGCTTCCCTTTGGCTTTACATTTCAGAAAATAAGAACGGCAAATTTTCATGACTTTGTCTTTTCGATTTTCCCATGTAAAAAACATGACTCTTTCATTGTGATTAAATATTGGATTTTGTATAGTAAATTGTTACTAACCATCAAGCTAAACTGGAAAATGAAGTTTAACGGCCCCCTCTTACTCGGTTCATCTGATGGGTCGACTCAGTGGGATCGCCACGCTGTCAGTGGTGCTGACAGTTGCAGGGTGGGCAAGGTGCTCGGTGGCAAAATGTACAAAAAGGGCAGAAATTTGTATAAACAACCTCACGTCCATTTCGTTGACTACAAGCGGATTCTGTAATTTTGCTCTCATCACCCCATTCCCGTAGATTTCTCAAAGATAAATAGAAATCAATATGAAATTTTTGTTATATATAAAATTTAGAATTTATTTCAATTCATTTATAAAATTATTTTTAAAAATAAATATTTAATAATTTTAAATTTTATTATTTATAATTTAAATTAAAATCTCTTTTATATTAAGAAAAAAAAAACTACAACAGTAACGAGATAGAAATACGAGAAGTACGGAGCCACACATATGCATACACCTTTTTTATGCCAAGTGCTACTAAAATATCGACATCCCGATTATAAAATTACACACAAATGATTGAAAATTTATTCCCATATCAATCACATCAAAGGAAGAGCCCTTGAATTTGAAAAAAAAAATTTTTCAAGACTTTATAATAAACATATGCTGATTATGAATTAGTAATTTTAAATAAATATTGTTGGGTTAAATGATAAAAGGATATTTAGACCTTACATGTATGCACTTTGCCATTTCAAATTTTAGAGTCAATTGGAGATATAATTAATTAATAAAATGTTAAAAAACAAATTAATAATTGTTATGTAATTACTACAATAATTATAAACATATTGGTACATGATATGAGATGAGAGTAGTTTGGATTTTATTAAGACTCACCTACTTCCATTAAATTAAAATCAAGTAAAATAAAGTTATTATTGATAATATAAAATGTAAAAAAAAAAAAATGGACTTTGTCATAAAAAAAAAATCATGACATTAAGTTGTTGCATTTATCTCAAATTGGTGAATTAATATAATCAATTTATTTTAAATTAAATTCGACTAACATAAAATTAAAGATCAATTATATTAATATTAATTTTAATAATATTCGAATTAAATAATATAATATAAATTAAGTGTGATTCTAATATACTTTAAACTTATATTGAGACGAATAGCATGTTAAAAAAGTTCTTACTCTCAAATTATATATATACATATATGAGAATGGCTAATTAAATTTTATAACTTCATTGAAGCACAGGGTAAAAAATAGTAAAAAAGATTTACATAAAGTTAAATAAGTGAAATTCGTAAAAATTTTTTTATTAAAATTGAATAAATTAAAATTAATAAATTGAAATATTTCATTATATAAATTAAACATACAAAATTTGAAAAAAATTAATATATTTATCAAATATATATCTTAAATAATAAAAAAGATTTACATAAACTTAAATAAGTGAAATTTGTAAAAAAAATTTATTAAAAATTAAAAATTAAAATTAAAATTGATAAATTGAAAGATTTCATTATATAAATTAAGCATATAAAATTTGAAAAAATTTTAATATATTCATCAAATATATGTTTTTAATAATAATATCAACAAAAATTTTATTGTTGAATAAATATTAATTAATTTTAAATTAAAAATAATTTTTTAATTATTTTTTATATATTATGAATTTTTACATTGAATTCTATTAATCTATTTATTTAAAATTTTTATTAAAAAATTTCACAAATTTTTCCCTTTACCAAAAAATAATTCTCTCGTTTCGGGCAGCATTGAGACATTGAGACGTTCGAAGGCACCACCGAAGAGTTGTAGACAGCGACATCAACTCGGGTGATCTTGGTAACGCGAGTTTTATTTCTTTCTCGCATTCAAGTAAACTAGCTGCTGATTTTATGAGTTGCTGGATAATTCTAACATAAAATTAGATTAGGAAATAATTTTTTTTTGTTATTTTATGAGATAAAATGTCTAGCACTGGAGGTTTGAAGCTGCCTCATTCTAATTTCTAAAGCATCAACTAAAAACCAGAGAATATATTAGCATTATAAAATAAAATAATACATGGATTGAAAAACTAGAAATATGTCATATTCTTGTTGACATTGTTCTTATCCCACTCGTTACTTTAAAAACAAAATAATGAAAAAAATCTTCAGCAAATTTGAATGCGATGGTGATTTTGTATCTGCATGAAAAAGGAAATTAGCTGCAATCAAGCCAATTGTTTTTAGTTTTTTATTTCTGAAAATATATAAAAATAAAAGAAAAACGTTTTTTTAATTTGAATAAAACGACATGAAAACAGTACGGAGAGGGACTGGCGGGGTTACTGTCCGGTGAATGGTAATGACAGACACCAACTTGAACCGAAAATGACGTTGCAATGTTTGCATGCGATGGATTGGTCATGGTTTATTGGGCCCCATTTTGATCTAACCTGTTTGATGTCTCACCTGTTGTATCTTACGGCTGATAGCCCCATTTTGTATTTTTTATCCTAACTCCCTAAGTTTTATATCATTCATTTCTCCATTTTTTTTCATTTATTTATATGCATTAAAATTAGAATTAGTATTAGATAGAGTAACAAATTTGCAATGAAAAAGTGTAATTTTTTTTAATTTTATAAATGTAATTAATAATTTTTTTTAATTAAGGAGTAAGTATACGTCATTTTATTAACCTATTTATAGAATCTAAAAGTTTTATGAAATATTTTTTTATGTGTTCTGTAAATGTTAACTATGTTTTTGGATTATTTTAGTTGGAAGTAGGAGAAGTGAGGTTAGAGGAAAAATCACTCGAATCTACGATCAAATAATATAGGAAGGGGCATTAGAGTTATTTCTCCGTAACGTATTCCAACACTCAAGTGAATAAGATATCTAAAGTAAGGTAAAAAAATAATAAAAGAAGAGATGAAAGTGATGAAATGTGTGAAAAAAGTTTCAACAGAAAAAAACCAAAGAATTCGTAATAGGGTTAGGTGTTTTTGTTCTTGTTACATACTTACTATTCTAATTATCTTATGTACAGACAAAAAGATAATGAGCTAATTGAAACAGTTAATAATTGAAAAGATGTTTACGTGAAATTCAATAAAAATTTATATAAATAAGTATGAGTCACATTTAATAATTTCAAACAAGTGTAAAATGTATTTAATGATTTTAGATCAATTAGATGTTAAGTGATTTATTTTGAAATAATTTTCTTAATAGATTGTCACTGAGATCTTAGACGAGTACTTCATTTGACAAATAATGAGTTATATCCTCGAGAGTAGGTGATGTAGCTATTTAGGCATATTTTGTTTTGGCAATCCTAATATATGAGTGTATAGATTAAACTTGAACTAAATTGATTGTTGATCAGTTGATTTAGATGTAATAAATATAATTTTAATAACTAATATTATCTTAAAAAATAAAATAAATTTGAATTTAAATTTTGTTTATAATTTATAAGATATGACACATTTTGATTTTGATTTAAAAAATTAAAGAATTTATTTTATTTTTTTATATTAATAATTAAGTTGATTTCAAATCAAGCATATAAAAATCAAAATTATTCCGTGTTTGTTGGAACAAAATCTTGCATAACAAATTCCAACAAAATAAAAAAAAAAGCAAAATAAAATATTAATAGTGGTTACTTTCAATTTATAAATTATATAGCTCATTTGATCATATAATAAATTATACACTATCAATTAAAAGTCAATAACGTATTTGATGTGAAGCATGATAGATATAGTAAGATGATAATTATTTTATATTATATTTTTATATTAAGTTTGATTTGTATTAAAAAAATGATATGATTATAAAAAAGATTAATTATTTTTTCGATATAAGATAATTAAATCATCTTAAAATAAAAAAATTTTTATTTAATTTATAAGATTAAATTGACATATTTTATTATATTTTTAAAAATTATATAAATTTAAAAAATAATAATTTTGATCAATATATAAATTTTATTATATTTTAATTTTTACACTCATCAAACATATAATAAGATAATATTATTTAATTTTATTTATACTATCATTTTGTTTTATTTTATTATAATCTTATACATCAAACTTATCATAAAAATAATAAATATCAATGAAAAATTATATTAAATTTGTTAAATTATTCATAAAAATTCATTAACAGCGAAAATGAAACCTAATATTATTAAAACTTTATCCTAATTCGTAAAAATAAAAAATAAATATGAGTGGATCGTGATAGGAATGGGGGCGACATTGCAAAATTAAGTAAACTATCAGCCTCTTAACCGGGGTTAAAGAGACCCGAGACCCAGGTTAAAGGTACGCTTGAACGGGACCCTTGTGAGTTGTAAATTTTTTACACTGATAAATCGAGCGTCGGTGACTCGGTCCGAATTAACAACGAGTCAAACTTGTAGTTTTAAAGGTAAGCAATTTTAAAAATATTTTCATTCTAATTTTCTTATTATTATTATTTTAATAGAGAAAATCTGAAAAAGAGGGACAGAGAGGGAGATTTGTTATATAAGGCATGGAAGCCAATTCTAAAAATGCGCCTTCAATTTGAGAGAGAGGGAAAATGGCAGATTCTAGCGATTCGATTTCCATCGATACGGAAACGATCTCTCTTGGCGGCAAGGTAACCTGAATCTATATATCTTGTTTGGTTACCGGGAAAATGCGGAAAATGGAAGAGAAAAAGAATTGAAAAAATGTTTTCCCTGTTAAAACTTAATGCACATATCTGTCATTTCTTTAGCTAAGCCGGATTTTGCTTCAATTTCTTGTTTATTTCTATATTTTCAGATATAAACCATTTATTTAAATTATTCATTTTTTTTTGTCACAGACAATTTTATTTACATTTTTGCTGCAATATTTTTTGAATGATCGCATAATTTGTTCTTTATAGTCCTTTGATTAGTGGCTTCTGAAAATTTCTCATTTGAGATGCATCCAGATAAATTAAATCTAATTACATTAATAATAAACTAAATTCAATGCCGTTTTGAAACTTAAAATATTTTTTTGTACTTATTTGCTTTCTGTGCTAGAAAAAGAAAATCTTAGACTAGTAATTTCATTAGTTTTATATCAGTGTCTTGTCAAATTTGGAGTTTGGATGATTTAGAATATGCTTAAATGAGCAAAACAGTTAGGCCTCTTAAAAAATTTCTGCTGCACATGCTAACTCTATCTAGTTAGAATATACTTGGCTTGGGCTATGCTTGAAGCATTTCTCTTTTTAAAGTAAATGAAACCGAAGTCAATTATGCTCTCATTACCTAGCTAGATCATACGTTTGTAATTTTTCCGCGCTGGTTATTTGTTAAAATCTAGGTGTTATTTTGGTTTGATGCTAATATGTTTTGATTCCTTCCGTTGCTTTCCAAAAGGTTTGTTAAATGAATAACAGTGCTTTGTAAAATCTATCTGCAGGAGTACCTGGTGAAAACTCACCATGGTACAGTTTCTGTAGCTGTGTTTGGAGACCAAGATAAGCCGGCTATTGTTACCTATCCTGATTTAGCTTTAAATCGTGAGTAATGCAGAAGAGCTTATTGTACTGTCTATTTTCCTTGTGCTTCCCTCCTTATGACAAAATATGTGCTTCAACAATTTTGGCGAAAAAAGGGTTCACTCTAGTTTGGCTTTTTATTCTTTGAATAATGAATTTTCACCTTAAACATAGATATTGTTTTAAATTTGAGACCTTCGTTTGTGTTTTCATTATAATGCATGAGACTTTGAGGCTGTAATGCTTTTAATTTGAGCTAAAGTTTTACACTTTAGTAATATGTCTGAAGTTCGTAACATTATTTGTTAGATTTCCACTATGACCAGGATCATCATCCAGTGATACTTCCAGTTTCTTACCTAAACTTTCGATTGTGTGAGATTTTGCAGATATCTCCTGCTTTCAAGGCTTGTTTTTTTGTCCAGAAGCTAGTTCCTTGCTCCTCCACAACTTTTGCATATATCATATAAGTCCTCCTGGACATGAGGTCGGTTTTGTGGATGTTTTATTCTTGTATTTCTGTTTTAATCATCCTCTTTTCGTTGAATCCTATAATTCACACCTTTCTTATACGGAACTTTCTTCAAGAAATATTGCAGTTGGGAGCTTCCCCAATCGGTTCTGATGACCGTGTGCCTTCCGTTGATGACCTAGCAGATCAGATTCTCGAGGTTCTCAACTTTTTTGGGTAATCATATAATTTCTTATTTACTTTATTTGCTTTCTCTTTCAAAGTGTCAGCTGATCAGAAATTTACTTTACTGTACCTCTTCTGCTCTAGACATTCTTTGACACCTTTTATTGTCATGATGGCCGGTAATTGTTGTAGAAGTTTTCTGAATTTGTTGTAAATTGATGCACCTACTACCCTCACATAATTTCTTAAGCTGTCGTTTTCATCATTTCATTATTTATAGGGAAAATAATAAAGGCAAGCAGGCTGATATTTCTTATCCTTTATCTCTTTTCTTCTCTTTCTGTTTTAACCACAGGCTTGGTGCTGTAATGTGTATGGGGGTTACAGCTGGAGCTTATATTCTTACGCTATTTTCTGTAAGTCAACTACCTTGGCATATTATACAAAATTTTTATTTTTCCTTTCTCACTTTCAAATAAATATCTAAACTCTTTCTTGTATGTTTGGAAATAATTTTTTCTGCCTTATGTCTTGATAGATGAAATACAGGCAACGTGTCCTTGGGTTAATACTTGTTTCACCCCTCTGCAGAGCACCCTCATGGACAGAATGGTTGTTAAATAAGGTTCCTGTTTTAGGCCTTTTTATTTTTTCTTAGGGTTTAAATAATTATGTGCTCAGATGGATTTTCATATTATTTCAGGTGATGTCAAATTTACTTTATTTCTATGGCATGTGTGGAGTGGTGAAGGAATTATTGCTTAAGCGGTACTTCAGTAAGGTATTTTTCTGCTTCAGAATTTATGCCGTTTATTTCTCTGTCTAGAATTGGACTAGTTGAGTGGTAAGGTTCTGAATGACAATGGCAGGAAGTTCGTGGTAGTGCTCAAGTGCCAGAATCAGATATAGTTCAGACATGCAGAAGAGTTAGTTCATAAACTAGTATTTGCCACTTCGTTACTGTTCGAGTGATTATATTATGATTAGTTTGTCTCATGGTACTTTTCTGACTTGTATATATATATTTTTTCTCCAGTCGCTAGATGAAAGGCAGAGTATAAATGTTTGGCAATTCCTTGAAGCAATGAACAGGTAAGCCTGTCTCCATGACAAATAGTTAGACTAGGATTCTTTTTAAAGGTGTTCTTAAAACAGGTTTCAGGTGGTTGGTTTCCTTATCACCTTTGCCAGGGTAAAAGAAAAAGGAAAATATTCATGGCATGCATGCATTACTGCTTTTGATCCAGCATAAAAGTCTGTCTAATTCACTGTCTTTCAGGAGACCTGACCTTAGCGAAGGATTAAGAAAACTGCATTGCCGATCCCTAATATTTGTTGGGGAGAACTCTCCTTTCCATTCTGAGGCTCTTCACATGACATCAAAATTAGATAGAAGATATAGTGCCCTGGTGGAGGTATGCAGACAGTCTTATTGTCTAACCTGTCGTCATATCATACATACATGTAGCTTTCAACATCCCATGGCAGCGAGCTAACTTCCTGGAAATTGTGGAACCTATTACAGGTTCAGGCAAGTGGGTCAATGGTGACAGAGGAGCAGCCCCATGCCATGTTGATACCAATAGAGTACTTTCTTATGGGATACGGCTTATACAGGCCGACTCTAAGTGTTAGCCCAAGAAGCCCTTTGAGTCTATCTTGCATCTCTCCGGAGCTTCTTTCACCGGAAAGCATGGGCTTGAAGTTGAAACCGATTAAAACCCGGATTTCTTTGGAAGTCTGAGAGAAGATGAAAGAGAAAGGGCAAGATCACCTCTATGTAATCTATATATGTATATATAAAAAGGTATTTGTAACATCTTTTGACTGGTTGGCGACCATAAGAGAGCACTATGGTTGTAGATAGACAGAAAAAGAAGATATTGTCAATTCTTTTATTTGTAACCATAAATTTTATCATCGGAATAATTATTTACCAAGAGAAACGCCAATAATGACAAATAGCTACGGGTGGGTGGTGAATTTTAAGCTTTCCATCTTCTATTTCTTGTGTATGCCCTTGTAAAATTGATTATTGATTGTTATTTTTCTTTGATACTGACGAAGAAAATGACTGCCGACCTTTTTAGCACTAAAAGCGTATGTGACGTGGTCATTATTCTTCCTTTTCAAAATTAGTTTATCAGAGCATGTTGCGTCACTATTTTTACACCTCACTAATTTTTTTCAAATTCGATGTAAGATTAAAATATTTTATTTACTTATTTTTGAGTATTTAACGTGATATTTTTTTTTATCTAATCTTGTGATGCATCACAAAAATTGACTATTTTGTCTATTTTTTTGAGATGTTTAACGTGAGTCAAGCGATTTAAAATTTATTTTGATATTATTCATCATATTATTATCTTTTTTTAAAAATTAATTTATCAAAATATATTGCAGCGGTGTTTTTATATTTCAATGATTTTTATTTTATGTTCGATATAAATTAAATACTTTATTTATTTTTTTTTTGAAGTGATTGATATGATATTTGATGTTACGATCTTGAGTAAAAATTATAAATTTTATATCGATTATGTATTATAATTAGTCTTGAGATATAAGGGTTTATATTACTTTTAATTTGTGAAATATTTTTTGTGAGATAAAATTGTGAAGTTAAAAAGATAAAAATGAATAATATCTTATAAGTTAGTGTGAACTATTACAATTAAATTGATTTGATACGTCGAATTAATTTATACCTAAATTTTAAAGTCGCATGAGCTTATGGTTTGAGTATCGATCTATAATATATAATATCAAAGTCAGCTTTTAAAGTACTAATGATATATCACCATTTATATTTGAGTTTTAGAGTTGCATGAACATGAAATTTGAGTCCCAATTGATGACACATATATCTAAAATTATTGTGCTTTCGTCACATAATATATATGATTTGAGTCTCGATCCATAATATATAATATCAAAGTCAACTTTTAAAGTACTAATAATATATCACTATTTATATCTGAATTTTACAGCTGCATGAACCTGAAATTTGAGTCTCAATCGATGACACATATATCTAAAATTGTTGTGCTTCCGCCACAGAAAATAGCATCCATTTAAGGACTGTCAGCTGAACCGTGGCTTAGGCAGTGTAGCAATTGAACTCCAATCCGGTTCAAATGCTTAACTATATAACATTTGTGATTACTGGTTTAGCTGAAATTTCTTTACGGGGAAGCCCAACGAATATTTCTGATTCACTAGTCTGTATATGCTTTCGTATATTTAAGTCATCAAAAGTTCAACTTCAAGCAGATAATAATGGAGATTTTTTTTTTTGGTTAATTGATATTTTATTATCCAAGAGAGCAGGAAAACCAGCTACAAATTGTTATAATAATGGAAAAATTATTTAACATAAAATGGATCGAAGAGACGTAAATTTGTATTTGCCAATTGGTATGAGGAACTGAAAATGACTATCGGGCGCGGCCTCTCTAGATGGTATTTTTTAAATTATGTAATAAGTACATACCAACAAAACATCTAGAGATTTACGTTAATTTATTTAATGAAACTAGACTGATGATAATTTATAAGAATTGTACATTGCATTTCAATCAATTTGGTATTAAATTAGATTGTTGAGAAAGAGGATTTCGAATTGCTGAGAAAAGAGGAGATATATACCTTCAGTTAGTTGATTGGTAATTTCTTAAAATCTCCTAAAGCAAATAAACATTTAAGTATTTTCTTTAGGTTAATTCTTAATTTTAATTAAATTTTTAATTAATTTAGTATCCAAATTTTCATTCTTATTAACTTTTTTTTTATCTTTTCAACCAAACAGACTGAGACATAAATAAGTCCTGCACTTGATGCAAGTAATTATGTGTCTTACTGTTGATGATTCATTGAACGACTCTCGGCCGTTTCAACAAAATATGGTGGGGTCTATTAGGCAGTATGGTGTTGTACTGCTGCTGAGTTGCAGGAACATATCGCTCTCTAGTTATGCGCTGAATATGGATTTTTGTCACTTTCCAGGAAAATGAGAGAAAAAAAAAAGAAATTAGAGCAGTAGCTAGCTGTCACGGAAATGGTCATCTTTCTCATTACCAACTTTCCAGGAAAATGATTTCATTCTCATCAGATGATTTTTTTTAAGGACTTGTAGAGTTATCCCACATGAATGTAAATCCCAATAAGTATTACACCTTTTATGATTGAAAATAAAGAGTATAAACAGCGTGCATTTCCTCATTGGCTAGTTTGAAGCTGGTAGAGCATTTCAAAAGGCTTGATAGGGATAGACCGAACTCTTGTGGAATTTGCAATCAACTGGTACAATTTGATAACACCCACATGCAGCGCAGTTCTCTTCACTGAAGAGTTTGTTAATTAAATTGGACAGGACAGTGCCTAGCTCCTCCCCATCATTCAATTCGTGTATATTTGCTCTGATAAGCTTTATATTGCTGCAAACCAGCTCCCACACTGCAAAATTCTTCCATGGCATCAGAAAATCATCTTCTCCAAGCTTCAAACCCGGGCAAAAATCGGCAGTTCCGTCACCCAAATAGATAAACCTTTTCTTCGCGGTTGCAGTAAAACTATAGTCGACTAAGCGTCAAACCTTTTCTTCGTCGCCCAGTTCCGTCGACTGGGCCTCCACGATCATTCTATCCCGAAAAACTATAGTCGAAAAAGCATGGAGCATGAATCTCGTAGTAAGACAAAAAATTATCGATTTCAACGAAATTAAAAGAAGAATGTTGTGCACAGTAAAACTTGATAGATTTCCACTAACCATGAGTGTTCCAGGGGAAATTGGGCCGGAGTTGAGTGAAGAGATCAGTAACACCGAACTCTTCCTCAACCCAATAATCACTGTGGCATTCGATAATTGTCGTGTCAAACTCAAAAACCAACACCGACCCTGCCATTGCTGATCTGATTGCACTAAAACCACCACGATCAGCAGCATCAGCACTTAATTGTTACTTTGGTATTGCCCAAAAGCATTACAGCTTAGCAATCTCTAGACCAAGGCAGGAATGATGGACAAGTTATCTATCTTCTAAATGAACTTGGAATTCTATTATGTGTAGGAACTAGGAAAAGGGCACATGGTTACTCTGTGACAGTTGTACTTCTAGATTTGCATGGCTTATTGCCAATAACTCCCCAAATCCCATAAAAAAAATAAAAAAAATTCAACAATTAATCTTTTTTGTTGCAGAAATTCGATGAGGCCGTGTTACAGGACAGCGAAAGAAATGGCGTGATGTCACACGGTGCAGAGTTTCTTTGCCTACTAAAGAGGTTTCAGACTCTGTTTACGACTCATCAGATTTCACGTGTCATAGTCTGGTTGGAAGGTGACTCTTGGATATAGCTACAGGAAATCTTTCTTGTTTTTGGAATCGTTGTAAGACCAGTAAATAGTTGAAGTCCAGGAATTGTTTTGCTTATAATCAAGTGGACATGACAACTCAACAAATAGCTATGCTTTTGCATTGCAGGATTGGAAGTGGTGTACAAACCTGAGGTGGTTCAATCAAATATTGAGATCAATATTGCGTAGCAACTTTTAGCCGCCATCACATCATGTATTATCACTAATATTCGTCGTTTGTGGACCATCATAAGTACATTGGTGACCCACGAACCCCCATGCATAAAAACAAAAGTTCACCATACCAATTAATTCCATGATATTTTGCTATTAATACATGATATTTTCAACAGAGGGAGGTTCCAACCATATGGAGCATTATGTAGAGTTGTAACCTTGAGGTAGATGTGTTTCTTTCCTATTGAAGCGTGCTGGAATTCAATGTCCCGTTGATCTTTCTTTCTTTCTCTGGCTTCAATTGATGTTGAATCTTTGATTGTTGATGCTTATCTGGCTTCTGTGGTCGCTGTTGGTTCCCTCATTTTGCCGAGCCTTTCTCCTGTTCATCTCGGAGTACATTTCCTCTATCATTGGTTTCCATAGTCGAACTCGAGCATTTATGAACCAATTGGAGACCTGGTTTCATTGATCCAAACGAACACAATGAAACAATCAAATCATATGAGAGTGGGTTAAGGAACACCAGTTAGCACAATACACAGTACAAGTCCACTCCTTTGCACTCTTAATAATGATTAAAATGCTTCATCAACGCATTTAAGTCCAAAGATGTAGCAAAAGCTCCAAATACCTGGCTCCTTGTTAAGCCACTTTTTATTGCAAGTAAATGTTTCTCAGCATCCTTAGGGTACCTGCAAATACAAAATCTGTCAAAATGGGCAGAACTGTGTCCATTTTTGTGCATAAATGTGAAATAAGCAAACTATTTTTCGTCCTAGTTGACTTTGAGAAAATGCTAGTTATGAACATATGTAGAAGCAATTCTCCAGTAAGATGCTCACGGGTGAAGAAAGTTTTGAAACATCCATGCACGTAAAACTGAGACAGACTTTTCGGGCAATCCTCTTTGTGGTCTCCATAACTGATCCTTCTTCCTTAGCTGCTGCAGTGCCCACTGTTCCTGGATGAATGAATTCTGAAAAGATCTTTCCCTACCTCCAGCGCATCCACTGTCGAAATTTGATCCCATAGCTAGGATTTGGTTATAGATCCTCTCTCTTAGGTTCTTGTATAAGAAAGAGAATGTCTGTAGAGCAAAACGAGAATGCACCTCAGGGTCCAATTCAGTTGCAGCATGGAACGCAGATATAACTGTATAGATCTCATCCAAGCATTGGCTATATCTGTCATCAACCTGTTCTCAATGAAGAGGGATAGCAATGCCACATTTAAGTACCAGACAGCTATGTCCAATACACCACAAAATAGAGAAAAGCAAATGGAGAACAAAAAATAACAAGAGAAATAAATAACTTATACGGTTTGCTACTACATATATTAGCCGGCATGCTTGACAAAGCCGACTTGCTCAACTAGAGAAGGCATGGATGTACTCAAGGTTATTCCAATGTTTAGTCTCAAAAGCCTTAAAGTTATGAACTTCAATCCAAGTTTTAGCTCACATCAATAACCAAGAAAATTAAGCAGTTCATATTTCAAATTCAAGGTAGCAATTGTCGCAGACCAAAAATGATAATTGTACCAGTATAAATTAGACCAACAAACCCCTTCAATATATTCAATAACCAAGAAAATTAAGCAGTTCATATTTCAAATCCAAGGGACCAATTGATGCAGGCCAAAAATGACAATTCTACCAGCATAAATTAGACCAACATACCACTTGCAGTAAAGTCAGCAGTCGGGTTTTCCTTGCCTCGACTGTCTGTTTTCGTACTTCTGCCTCTAATTGAACCTCAGAATTACCATCCATATCAGGAAGATCATTTGGATCCATCGGTGCCATCCCTCTTCCAGCTAGACAGGTTGAGGAGAACAGCATAGTTGCTCCAGCTCCATTACTCATCTGGTCTAGATTTTCAAGAGAATAGCTTGCAATTTGAGCAAGTATTTCTTGAACTGCATGAAGATATCTTGATCCTGATATCAAGTGTGATACTTGAACTGGTCCTTCAGAACCGAAACTCAGAGAAAGCTCCTTAGCATTACAAGAAGTTTGATCTAAGCCTAACCTTGTTGTATTCAAGCAGCAGTGATTTGCACCAGAACAGTTTATTTCAGAGGACTGATCAGGAATATTGTTCCCACTGATGACTGCAGGCAGAGACGTAGCAAGACTTAAAGAAAGCTCATTACTAGGTTTAGAGGAACCACAAGGATAATCCATGCTCATATTAGCACCATTTAATGTTATCCACCCATTTGGATCCAGACAACCTACTGATGAATATGGTTGAAATGCTGTCTTCAATGGGGTTTTCCCAACAAGCTCCAGAGCAGGAAACTTCTCAAAATCCCACTTACCGTTCATATTACCAAATGTTTCATTAAATCCACAATTTACAAAGGTTGCCATTGTAGAATTTATGCCATCAGAACATTCAGTTGAAGAGTAAGTCCTAAAATCATTAGGGTAGATTGAAGGGGCCACTATTGCTAACTCATTTAAGTTTTCTTCAATACCACACCTTGCAGGTGGAATTGAAGAGATGGGTGTTCTGTCCATGAATTGCTCGTGAAACTTAATGTTATCTTCTGAACCTGATTTGCCAAGTGAAGCATCACCGACAACATTCCTTCCAACAGATGCAACCAATGCATTAGAGTCAAAGAACCTGGTCTGATTAATTATGTGGAGATCAGCACAGAGATCACTGATAAATTTTCCTTGCTCTGAGGGAAGCACTGGAAACCGAGCTACTGTCTGGTTTTGGTTGATGTGGTTATATAAGTTGGACTCAACTACTGAATTTGGGATTGTCTGTGACAGAATCCCATCAATAACAACAGAATTTCGGCTTACCATGGCTCGTGGAATTCTGAACATATCATTCTCCATTATACTGTGGGCACAAAAATCACATGGCCTCAAGAATAAGCAGCTTCATCAGTTAGGGTTCTTAGGCTTAATTTGCATGTGAAGACAATTTTATTTCAATATATAACAACTCCCTTGACTTCAACTCTCTTGTGAACTATGTTATGTTGTTATCATGATCATTCTATCTCTGCCTAGATGATCCACCATTAACCTGAAAAATTGGTAATGAAATAAAATCTCCAAATTAATACTGAAAAGAACAATACTTCACATACTTGCAAAGAAGATTGTGACAGAAACTTGCAATCACCGTCAAGAGACCAGAATTTTAAGAAAGCAATTTTATTAGAAACAACTTTTCTTAAGAATACAGAATTATGGTAGACAGACATCTCAGAGCCATTATGTGAATGATTTAAACTTTCAAGATCAATGAGGACACTTCCTGCCCCACTCTTACACAGGGATAAGATTATTGACAAGAGAAATCTTTCACCACAAATTCAAAGTGCAAAGGATGTCAGACAGAATAAATGGGACTCGCAAGGCCACAGAAATAAAGCATCAAAAAATAGAGTTCCCAAAGAAATCCGTCATTAACAGCTTAGAGTAACTCAAATCCACGCAAAAGTTTTTTTTTTTTTTTAAAACTTCCATGGAAGTGAATTGCTGGGAAACAATGTTGATAAAGAAAATTATTTGGGAAGATCGAGACATGAATAATAACATTAATAGTAGTAGTATTTAAACATCTAAAAGGGGTATGGCGATGCACACGAAAGCAAAAGCTAGGCAAGAATAACATGCTACAGTACAGTGACAAGAAAGTCTAAAGTTGAAGAAAAGGGGAAGAACATGAGAAAATATACAAAGCCTAAATCTTCATATTTAAACAGTTCAAGTTGTAGAAAGTAGACCTTGAAGATTTAGAGGCTTCAAAATTCATTCTCTTTTGTGCTCGTGTGTTTGCGTGCGTGTCTGAAACAAAAGAGTAAGCTGAAAAAGACGACCAAACTGCATTTATTCGAAGAGTAGCTTTCAACCTTGCATTTATCCATCAATAGAGAACCAGCTGAGGGAAAATATTTTCTTCACCCAAACCTTGATTCATGGGAATTCCAGGGGATGAAGGATGTGAAATCTTTCACCCTACTCAAAATATAAAGTGGCTTGTAAATATATTGATTGATAAATGCATGTAGTAGGCTCTTCTCAGAGACCCCCAAAAGAAGCCATTGCAACGCGAAGTTCACATGAAATCATTGGTTTTCTGTTTCTCCATAAAAAGAGCATTGTCAAAATGCCATAAAACAGTAGTAAAAAACCTTTTTTTTCTGCTTTAACAAAAAAGAATAAGGTGAAAAAGCTAACAGGACTCATGCACTATCCCCACATTTCAGAAGGGCATAATCGAAATTAAAATAGGAAAGAAAAAGCCAATACAAAAAAACTGGGGAAATTTGTTTGTATGTACAGAAAAAAAGTGGAGTTTTCTCCAAGAACTCAAACACCAAGAGAGTGAGATTCACATTTTCAGACCCCAACAAGATTTATAATCTCTCCTTCTCTGTCCACAAAGTTTTTAAGCTCTAAAACACTAATGGAGTTTTGAAGATAAAAGACAGCAACTTCAGAGAACCCACTAAAAAGGATAATTAAAAAGCAGTCCTAAAGAAAAATGGAGAATGAATGAAATGGCCCCGTTCATTATGAGAGAGAGAGATAAGCGACGCAAGCGTAAAAACAAGAAGATAGAGATATAACGAGAAGGACGAGAACCTCATTCCTCCTTGGTGCAGTGCCACTCATTTCTGCTGCAGGCTTTAGAGGGGCCCTTCCTGTTGCTTCTTTCTCTCTATCTTTCTCCGATCTCCTTTGTCCTCCTCACCACCTCTCATTATTTGCCTACTCTGCAATCATACAATCAAAGTATCCGGATTCTCTCTGTTAAAACTCCTGTTCATGGCAGGTCCTCTCAGCACCATTTTTCATAAAAAAAATCTTGCTTTTAGACGAGGGATAGCCAAACGGTAATGTGTTTGATGAGAAAGATGAGTGAATGGCTTATACTTTCCGCCTCTCCCAGAATCCAACAAAAGTCTTAAGCCAAACAAATGCATTTGTGAAGAAAAAAACAAGAAAGGGTACGGTAAGAAAACACACTGTTTTTGCAGTGTACTTTGAATATGATGATGCAAGCATGCCAAAGGTGACGAGAAGATCTGGTGGGCAAGGGCAAGATCTTTGACGAATTTATTGAAGCAATTACACGCTCTATCTAATTCTAACTCCTTTTGGGCTTTGTTTTGTTGGCCCAACTCCAAATCCATAAGTGTGCCTAAAACTTAAAACAGTCTTTTATACAGTACATAAACTGAAATTCTAGACTACTCATTATCATGATTGTGCATGCAGGCAGACCAAATATTTTGTAATGATGAAACAGTGAATAAGATCACCTGATCTTCCTTTGCTCCTTGGGTTTCTATCTGTAATGCCAATGTTTTAAGATGTTTCTTGGGGATCTTGATGTGATTATTCAATCTTTTCCTTTTGTAAACTTTTGTGGTCTGCGGTTGCCTTGTCATGTGCAGTTTTAAGACTGGTTACAACGATCATTGTTGAGCAACCAAAAGGCATAAATGATGACAGGAAAATGTTTTTTCAGATCCCTAAATTTCAGAATTTAGTAGAATAGTTAAAATTATAGAAAGAAATGAAACCATAAACAGAACTTTTAACATGCACTGTTTCTATAACTAGATTTATCACACAGCTGACAATAAAGAGACAAAATTCCTTAACAGAATGCATACAAGCGTAGTCAAGAGCCATGACATAATGTTGCATGCCAGCCCTTTAACTTATTATCAAAATCAAGATAATTCGTATGTAAACAACTTTACCGTTATGGTCGTGTTGCCTATAAGACACTTTTTTTGTATACTATTATTCATTATTATCGGCTTATTCATTATGCTTGTTGGGCATTTTTTGAATAGAAATGATTCAGGAATGATATATACATGATTTTTGACTTTATGATTTGCTTCTACTACTTCACTGGAATCCCTTGAAAAAAAGAAAAGAAAAGAAGACATGGATATTTAATTTCTTATCAGAAAGGTGTAAAAATTTGAATCTTTTACAGAAAAGATGTTCACTTGCTATGTCTAATTTTTGCAATTATTACATTTTTGAAGGCATCGAGTTAAGATGGACGTAGCAGCCCAGTAGAAGGCTTGAAGCAAGTTCGTTTCTTGTTGCGCATGCTGGCAGTAGTGTTTTAGAGCTGTATATATATTTTTTTTCCAATTTTTTTGCATGCAAATTATGCAAAGCAAGCAAACAAACAAAGAGATTCTAATTAGTAACGTTGCTTTTTCAACACTCCTAAACATTATCCAAAACCATAAAAGAAATAGTCAAAAGTCAATTGCTTTTCTATTGCCTTCTGTCTAAACCGTGTCAGCAATAAAAACTAAAAGCTATTGCATTGTATGCCTATGCAGTTGAAACGTATTTCGGTGTTTAAATAGCTTTGATCGGCTGAAACTTAGCAGCTCCAGCCACCACATACAATTATAAACTAGGACAAAAGACGAACAAGCAACAACATTATAATAATGGCCCCAAGTTGTGCCTTATGCAGATTGTATATAGGTCCAACAAAATACATTAAATTAAACCCAACAGATAATAATCTGCCTGTGGGTTTTGACTATGATTAAGCAATTTCAATGAAAGAAAGGGCCCACGCAAATATATATATATATATATATATTTGCATTTCTGGTACAAGTTTTTACTACAAAGATATCTGATAATTGGCTTCATCACTTTTAATTATTATTATATATTTTCTGTATTTGGGGCTTGGAATTTCTTCAATTTCGACACTATTAAAAAGGATATTGGAATCCTGAAGGGTCACAAACATGAGATATGATTGAGAGGAAAATGAAAAATATAAAATATGCTTATCCCCAATCATTTCTTACCTTATCAAATGTGATGGCATCACGGAAAAGAAAACTTATGGATTTATCTTTTTTTTTTTTTGTTCTGAAAACATTTGGTAATTTAGTTTAAAAAAATGAATAGAGAAATTCAGGAAAGCTTTATTTCTGCTATGATATGCATAAAAAAAAAAAAACAATAACAACAACAAAAAAAAGAGTAGTAAGTGGCTAAAATGGGTTTGAGGTACAAATCAAAGAGAAGTCTTAATGGGGGTTTCTTTCTTAGTCACATGTCCCTTGCTCACAACTTTGCAGGAGGAAAGGCAATATTTGATCTTTGCTCTTGCCGTTGAATTAAGGGTTGACATTGAAGCCACACGAAAAAGTGTTGTACCAAATCATTAACCTGCTATATTATCCGCTGTTTCAACCATGGCTGACGGCCTATCTCTTCTAAAATTTCTTTCTCTCTCTCCATTTCAAGAAAACCGCTGCATATGATCCATGTGTAAGATCTACAGACAATTACAGCTCCAAGTTTTCTCACTTATCCCACCAATTATTAGAAACTATAGTTGAAATTTCATAATCCTAGAAAAGCTCAACGCTCAAACCCTTTCTAACATCAAACCATCAGACTTATATAATCGGGGAGAGTTGAAGAAAAATGAAAAAGTAATAGTATGTACACTAAAAATTCAGGTTAAAAATTAGAAGTACTTTATATATATAGTTTTTCCTTATCGAAACCATCCTCGGAAATGACTCAAATATTACTTTCATTCAACTCAATCTAAGTAAAATGATAATAATAAATTCCATCTTTAATTCAATTAATTTATATAATCATATGATATTGGATAAATTTAAAATTTAAATACATAACTGTAACCTATTTTCTTATAACAACGGTCTATTTGTACCAATTAAAAAATAAGTACAAGGACAGCATTTCATATTTTGGAGGAAATTTCAGTTACAAATCAAGGATTAATATAGGTTATTAACGGAGACTATATACTTAATAACATGTATTTATATGTTGAAAAGAGATAACCCGCAAAGAATGGGATATTTGATTCTTGTTATCTTTAATCGTTTATTAATTAGAAAGTGGATATACTCTGAACAAATAGGACCAGTACTGGTATATTTGATTAATATGATGGCATATATATGTATGTGACAACAAAACAGACTGAATTGTTTCTTATTTAATTGGTAAATCTTCAATAAAAATGAAGATGAATGTTTTTTTTTAATAATTTATTTGAGAGAAAAATAATAAACATTTGAGTGATAAAAATAAAATCCCATAATAACAATATAACTAAATTCATCACCCAACAAAAACTAATATATAGAAATCAATCCCCAAACTATCAAACTCAAACCCCATAAGTAAATAGAAAAGAAAAAAAAAATTCAGCTTCCCCAAAATCCAAACCAACCAGAGTTCCAAAGAGAATCTTACTCATCCAACCGACTTCAATCTTCTTCTCATCATCTTATCAATATCTTCTCAATCATGTTCATGAAGAGAACCCATTGCCACAACCCCAAGCTTCTGCAGATTCAACTTCACAACTGTATCCACAAACATTTTTGTATCTTCCCCAGTGTTCCCTTCTGGTATATCCACTATATAAGACTCTAAAACAATGGTGTAAACTTTCCCTTCCTTATGAAACTCATTGACCGAAGTGACTGACCTGTAGTTCCTCAGCCTATGCTCACCTCCAACAACCCTAAAGCTTAGTATATGCTTTTCATCATCCAAAATCTCTAGTCTTTCAGTACTTGTCGAAGCAGGAAGACCTGAAACAACGGTGACTTCTCTAATGCTTCCAACGCTGCCATCACCGGTCATGTTACAACTCTTGATGAAGTGTTTGTATTTTTGGGGGTTTTCGAAGCTTCGAACGAAAGGCCACACGGCTTGAGTTGGGGCGTCGATACGCTGCGTTATTAGCGATATGCAAGTGTTTTGTGTTGGCTCAAATTTATGGTATGTGTCAATGAGAGGCTTCAGCTCCGCATACTCTTCTTGAGTTAGGCCTTGAGGGGGCGTTTGGCTTGACTCCATGGTTATCTCGGTCACGGTTACACGACTTGCTGGTATGCTTTTGGATTTTGGTTGCCACTAGACAAGCATGCAAGGAAGGGGAAGGGGTGAGGCTTTTGAGTTCATGAAGGAAACACCGAATGAGAAGCATGAGGATGGGTTGAATGGGTTTATAGTATTTAATTTTGTTTCGGGGGGGGGGGGGGGGAGGTTTGCGATTTTTCAATTTTATTGCTGTTAGACGGATATGCCCTTGGGTGTTACAATTTTTGACCAACTTGTCAGTTGTTTAGGTTTGTCCTTTTGTTAAAAAAAAAGTGTTTACTTCTAAATTGAGAGCTTCCATGGTTGGACCATCGATGGCTATATTTGGAAAGGATTTTGTGATCTATTGCTTACTTGGTTCTTCTATCAATTGTGCTTGGCTTCTCTTTTGGGAAGAAGACAAATGGATTTATTATTCACTATTAATATATGATAGGAGATTTGATTAGTTTATAATCGAGATAATTATCTTATCCAATGTTAGTTAAATTTTTAAACTTAAGGTTAATAGGATTATTATATCCTTTAGGTTATATTAATAAGTAAAAAAAACTATTTAAAAAATGAGATATATAACCTTTTTTTAACCCGTTTGTGAATTTTTTAAGAACTGATTTTTTTCATAAAAAAGGAATTGATTTAAGTGACTACTTATGATCTTTAAACTATTGTTTCATGTTTGTTTCAATGCATAATCTTCGAACTTTTATTGGTTTAAATTGATAGATATAAGACCATATTATATACAAAACCAGACAAAATGCGTTTTGCATGCATGAAATTATTAGTTCATTTAAGCTAGGTTTTGGCATAACTATAGTGCTAGTCATACAGTGGGTTAGATTTAACGTAAGATTTTGGTTTGATGTGAAGTCTAAATTCATAAACAAGATGTGATTGAAAGTTGAAACATAGGATGTTCACATTCAGATTCAGTTCAAAAGAAATCCTGCAAGCGTAAGTTAAACATCATCATCATATATAATATCGTTTATAAATGAGTTTCAAGGTAAAAGGGCAGACAAGCAAGTTGACAAATCAAGGCAAAGTTGGGAACAACAAATTAAGAAAAGTTCATAGCCCTAGAAAACAAAAAACACAAGGTGAGATATGATTGTTCTTGAAACATATCTAGTGATTTGTCAATTTTAATGATAAAAGTCTGATGTATTACGAGTTAATAATAAAATATAGGAAACCAAAGAGGCGGGAGGGGGGGGGGGGGACTGCCTGTACGTGAAGAAAGACAATTAACGGGGACTAAAATGAAAGGAGGGGAGTTGTCTGCATCGTTGAAAAGACAAGCTGGAGATTCGTGAATCATGTGACTACTCTAACAAACTCTCGTCTCGCGTGATCTATAACTCCACTTTGCAGGATTCCGCCTCCCCTCTCAGGCTCTCGCCAGCCACCCCCTAGTCCCTACCCTTCACATTTTCCCATTTTTTCTTCTTTTTTGAAGGGTTTCCTTTTCTTTGTTTTTTTTGGTCAATTGGGGGTTTCCCATTGTTATCCAGAGATGTTATGTAATGAAGTTATACAGTGAAATAAACAAATGTTTTGTCATATATAAGATCAGTAGCATAGTTTGATTAGTTTCAATTCCAACACAAACAAAATTCGAGAAAAATAGATCTTATGGGACAGCTCTTGATGCATGTGTCACGTAACCATTATTTTCTCTCCGTAAAATTGGCTTATTAGAATTTGTAGGGTCAATGTTTATAATTTCAATGACCTTTTTTTATTTGACTAGGGATTGAAATATCTTGTTTACTCTCTTTAAAGTGCTTGGCATGATATTTTTTCTCATCTAGTCTTGTAACATTTTTGTCACAGCTGCTTCCTTACCTATTCCCCTTTGAAATGCTTGGCGTGGTTAGATTTTACCACTGTGCCTTATCCCGACACATTGTTAAGTGACTAAACTAGCCTACCTTTCTCACTCCCATTGGAATGCTTGGCATAGAGTCAAAATGAGTCAAAGATTGATTTTGATATCGCTTGTCACATAGCTATTACCTTCACTTCATAAAACCTACTTATTAGGGTGTGCAATATCAATGCTTATATATCCAACAACTTTCTCATTCCTATTCATTGCGAGATTGAAGCACTCTACTTACTTCTTTGAAACATTTGGTGTGACACCAATAGCATTGCCATATAAGAACTAGGACCTTCCAAGAATTTCGAAATTTATTGACATATATGATGTTATGTGAATTTTTTTTTTATATATTTTCTAAAATAAATAAATGGTACCCTAAACTATAATCATTTTCAATTAATTTTCATTTATAATTTTTTAACTCATTGAATCTTAAAAAAAAAGAAGTATTAGAAATTTTTTAAGTTTTAGCATTTAAACTTTACCATATTTAACAATAAAAAATCTATATGCATAATGGGAAGGGATCAATTTACCTCAATGTAAAACTAAAAAATTTTACACTTTTAACCACTGATTCTAATAGATCTAAGGGATAAAAGAGATAAGTGAAAAAGAAAAAAATAGTTTAATCTTATAACTTGAATCTATTAAAATCAATATTAAAAAGTATAAAACTTTTTTGTGTAAGTTGATCCATCCTCATGAATAATAGCTTTTAAATTTAATATATTTGTAAGTTGTGAGGATATTTTATATTAAATGATTTACTCATTTTTTATAGTGTCAATAAATAAGTTAAACACTTTTAATTTGGGGTGGAGTAATTCAAGTTATGCTTGGTGAGGAATTATGCACTAATCACTAAGTTAAATACTCGAATATAAATAAACTAAACACTTTAATAATAAAAGACAAAATAGTAAAACATATAAATTCTTAAGTAAAATTCATGAAGTCATGACTAAAAATGAGTTACATGAAGTTTATAAATGAAAATAAAAACTAATACTCATACTATAATTTAAGAGTGCATTTGGTGCATAAAATTATGATAGAATATGATAAGATGGCTAAACACTTTAATAACAAAAGATAAAATAGTAAAACATATAAATTCTTAAGTAAAATTCATGAAGTCATGACTAAAAATGAATTACTTGAATATTATAAATGAAAATAAAATCTAATACTCATACTATAATTTAAAAAAGCGTTTAGTGCATAAGATTATGATAGAATATGATAAAATGATATTATGACAAGTATTAGATTAAATAATATCATATTATCTTGTGTTTGATACATACAAGGATTATGATTAGATAATTTATTTATTAATCAAAATTATCCTTACTCAAAATTTATACAATTTAAATTATTAATGTAATTTTTAAGGTTATAATAGAATATGTAAGTTCAATCTTATGGATTATTTATCGTCTTTATAATTCTATCCCTTTTTTTAAATGCAAATAAAATATAGTATAGGATGGTTATCATCCTTTTCTATCTATTATCTTATACATCAAATATGATTTAATAGTTTTTAGAAGATTATTTACTTGAAATTTTTGAAACCTTTAAAGTTATAGTGTATTGATCTATTTATTATTAAATTCGATCAATCTAACTATTTTAATCTTTAAATTTTTTTACATTATTTTTATTAGAAACTCTCAATATTTTATGAAAAGCTATATCTAATTAGTTTGTTTTATAAAAAAAATACTTAGCGTTAATTGAAAAGTCAACTTCACTAATTAATTTGAATTGATAAAAGAATAACAAAGACAAATAAGATGAATTGATAAAAATAAACTTCTAACTAAATATTTGCTTTTATTATAATTTTATTTTTAATTTTATGTATAAAATATATTCATAATATAATATGTGTATAAATGATCGTGTATTCGCATATGTATTTGAACCCTTCTTAATAAAAATTTTGGTTCTGCCACCGCATGACACTTGGCTGTATTTGGCATATGAATTTGAAATAATTATTATTACTAACAACTAGTGGGTGAACCAGGCTTTGTTCAGTATGTTAATTTAATTTTTAATATGTTATTTATCCAAAATAATTTACTATAAACTTAGTAACAAAAGGTTAATATAAAATTAAATAGAAAGTATTTGTTGTCTATTTAAAAGTTACAATGATCTTAAAAAGAGTTATTTAGGTGCAACAGAGCAATTTATTCATAATCAGGATAGATAATTAATTTAAAAGTATTGTGTGCTATCATAGCAAAAAAATAATAGTTGACTGATCTTCAAGTGATTATCAATGATGAATTTTTTTATCTTCCTGAGAGTGATTTACTTCTAACATTGTATCGAATGGTTTAGGATTTTGAGGATCCAACATAGCGATAGAAGAAATTTTGTCGGGTAGATATTTATGATAATTATTGGGAATATGCTGCAAAAATAATGTAATGAGAAAATGTTAATAGGTATTTTGAATATATGTTTTGTTATATTATATCGTAATAGTATATGCATAATTGTTTATCAAGATGGGATGATCATTGATGTTTGTATAGATTATCAAGGAATAAAAAGTAAGACTATCACAATAGTCATTATCTTTATATTCTGCATGGTTAAATTGAGTGTTGTAACTTGAAATACAAAATATAGTAATTGTAATTTAAATGAATTGAAATGGAACATAATGTAGGTGAAATGAAGATTTTACCTTGTTCTTGTTGCAGGGCATTTGGTATTATAGTGTTGGGTGATTGAGGATGCAGGAACACTTGAAAATTGTTTGGATTATTGTATGTAAAAGACAAGATATTTTGATTTATAAATTGATGTACAGTAATAAATTAATGTCATCCATTTTGAAAGTATAATTTACCGTTGATTTTTTTCAATTTCATTTTAAATGTATTTGGGAGAAAGGCCTTTATGTGGACAATTCTTGAGGCTCGACATGTGCTGTTGAACGAAGTTTTTTGAAAGTTCCTATAATTATATATGGTTTTGATACAGTAATGAAAAATTATAACAGACATGGAAAGTGTTTCAATTATAACTAAAATAGATAAAGTAATAGAAAAATAGCTAAGAAATAAAAGTATAAGTGAAACAAAAGTTTAATACACATGGTGTTCATCGTGTATTGAAACATCTAGAGTTGCAAAAAGTTCTCCAATTTATTTTCTGTAATTAGATGATATATGGTTGAT